GTTAAAAGAATAATTGGAATTGATTTGATTCCGCTCAAACTAATTTTAGGCACATTCCTTAATTAATAAAATTCATAAAATAAAAATCATTTATTTAAATAGAACTTCAAATAAATTGATAACTCAACCAAAATTTCATTTATTAGGCGCATTCCTTAATTAATAAAATATGCTAATTACTTGGATTGCCAACTCTTTTTTTCTAATGAATCACATGATATTAGGCCTATCCTGACGTAATATCTTACGAAAAATATTATGACTAAACACAGAGAGGAGATGTACAAAGTTGTAACAACTTTAATGTTTGTTTGGTAAGTTATGTAAGGCTAACCATCATTAAAGGTTAGTTGGTAACATTCTAGTAGAATGAGACCTATCCTGACATAGTACCACATGAAAACATGCATGACATGCAACGAAAAGTAACTGGCACTAAAGAAATTAAAACTCGAGAATGAACATATATACAAGACTATGGCCTCTCTAAAACATGCTAAACATCAAAAGTTATTTTGAGTATGTTAAAATTTAGTACCCAATGGTCCCGACATTCCTACGATAGGGCTACGTTGTTTGCTTATCGCTTCTAAGAGAGAAGACTAACTATAGACCACTACAATATTTTTTAGCATACTTTGTTCTCACTTACATGCTTCAGACCCAATATATAATTAGTCTAAGCAAAACACACTTAATTTATAATTGAACCACCAAAAGTGAAGATGCAGTCCGTAGGTATAGTTGGTGTAACACCCCTAATTTTCTCTAACCTAATTAGCGACGTTACCTTATACTTGCATAATCAACAAAACAAGAGTTCATATAAGACAGTCTCAATAATGACAATGCGTTCATTATTATAAGCAGTTCATACTTGAGGAAATCAATAACGACAGCCTAGCCTAGAAAATAATCAACAAAGAACTAGAGGAAACAATTGTAATAACTATGAACCCAAAAGAATCCATCAAGTCACCTACGACACTACAAACTCTCCTCAAAATTTCCATGGCCTTCGCAATATCCCCATCAGCTGTACATGGGAGCATTGCCCTTACCTGAAAATATGGGTAGCACGTGGCTTGAGTATTATATAAAATATTCAGTAAGTCGCCCCACTGTTGGGGTTAAGCATATAATCATTCATCAAGATACAAGCAGTCACACACAATACACATACATGTCGCACATAATACACCTACATGAACACAAGTGTTAAAAGAAAGAAATTGAGAGAGGGGTCTGTCTTCCATTCCTTCTCATGGCCTTAGGCCCTTGCTTTGTCCGGGCGGGGGTGGATGCATGGTACTTTCCCACACATGGCCCACGTGTGTGACTGTGGCCCACCAGGTGAGTTCGCATGCGAACTCCCTGGGACTGGCTTGGTCGGGTATGTATGACCTACAATACCGGACGGCACGGAAAAGGAGGGTTTACATGATATCGTGGCGAACACAATATCGAATATATGCATCCATACCATTAGTAGCATAACGGGGGAGTGCCCCCATGTACATAACCATAGCATGCATAAGGTTCTTAAGGTTTACCTCCATGGCATTATACATATAACGTTCCATCCCCTCACCCCTTTACATAGCATAACTGGGTCAAACATCGAGTAAGCATATCATAGCATACTCGTCATCACATTCATGGCATGCGGGGTTCCCATTAGAATCATAACATGTCAAGCTCATACATACAAGGTAGCAAATCGTGTCACAAACATCATATACATAAACATGGCATACATAGCATTTCACTGCAAGAAACACCTAACCTAGCATACATCAACAACACACATGGTGCATGCAAGGGCCACAGTTCACGCATCAACATACATACATAACTAACGCCAACAGTAAGATTACTCCTTGGCCTTGGCCAAAGTCACCCACAACGTTAACTCTGGCGCCTAACTACCTCCTATAAGATAACATGATACACTTAGAGCCTTTTCACAATTAGCTCTTATGCCTAGCTACCAAGGTACGTCCCTATCGCAAACTATTTTGTCAAAATGAAGTTATACTTACCTCAGATGGTTGAAATAAGGGTGGGAATGGCTCTAGAAGGGTCGACAACCTAGAAATCGATATACTATTCGGATGTCGAGCCGCCAAGGCGCACTGCCAAGCCGAACCTAGCTGAGTCGGGAGTGCACGGAGCCGCCAATGGAGCTGAAATCGACGGGCTACAAAGAACACTGCCGGCGCAGGGTTTCTGGGCGTGCTTCTGGTTTGGGCTGAAATGGAACGAGGCCCTGTGGTGGTGTCCGAGCGAGGCTTGCGAGGTGCGGGTTGCACATTGGCCGAGACGACTCGCGGAATGCCGAGGGTCGACCCACGCCTGCCACTTTGTCTTCCTCGCCCGAAAGCCTCGACAGCCCTAATCGCGGAGCTTGGCTACTATCGTCGGTGGAAGCGTCATCGTTCGTCCATCTCCGGTGGTGCGTCTGCCTCTCCTTGTCCCGACGTACACTGGTGTCCGCTCCTACCTATAGGAAGCGGCCACTCCTAGGGTTTAAGGGGGTTTGAGTGGATTCGATTTTCGGCGCGGCCTTTTTTTTTTTCTTCTTCTTCTTGGAATGTGTATCGTTACAGTTGGTATAGGTAGTTATCATATCCTCAGGATCAGTCTTATTTCGACATGGTCTCGATTCAATTATATACTCTTTCTTTTCTCGAGCGTCACATGTCCCCTAACTCCGCCTATTGTTTGTGGTCAAACCACTCAAAATAGAGACACAAAAACAGAGATTTAAAGAGAGAGAGAGAGAGATATGATATGGTGCGTCCATTATAGTTACCAAGATCACATGGTTTCTAAATTGGTGTTGATGAGCGAGAGGACATTGGTTATGATGGGCGCATCCTCCACCGGCCCTATGTGCGCCGCCATGTCTCTGAGCTAAACAACATACCCAACTCTTCCTGGAACAAAATCGTAGGTGGCTTCCACTAAACCTGTTTAAACAAATGGTTCTCTTTCTGTGCTTTCAACTCTCAACCTTCTTTGAAGCTTGGAACCAACAGGTAGGACCATCACCAACCCTTCCCATTTAGTGTTGTTCACAGATTTGATTCTATTTATGTGTTCAAAAAAGTGGTTAATACGAGTTGGTATTCAAGAAAATGGGTTCGATATGGTCCAACTTTATCGAAAAAGTAATATAGCATCATAAAAATATTCTCGTTATGATGTCATATTAAAAGTAGTAATGATGCTTCTATGTTGACCGTTCAATTAAGCTCAAAGATCTTTAAAATTTTGTATCAATTCAATCTAATCCAATCCAATCCAATTGGTCTGATTTAAGTTAGATGGGTTGATTCATAGATTTACGGTTAATTTTAAAATATACATTATACAATTACACAGGTTTATTTAATTTTATGGTTGAATTCATAATTTAATAAAAGATTAAAAATTTTATCATCTGCAGTTTGAAAGGAAGGTGGATGTCGCATCAGACAATTATGGGATGGGCCCAAAATCGTATGGTTATGGTCAGAGCGGAAGCGGCGGGATTTGGGTCGGACCAATAAGGAACACACCTCGACACGTGCGATGATGAGATCTCACAGGGTTACGTCGACTGTAATCGTGCTAGTTGGTACGTGCGGAAGATTCGGCGGCATTGAATTGTTGAAAGGGAAACCCGACAAACGTCCAAAATTAATTAATATATTTTTTTAATAATATGTTGGTTAAAACTTAAAAAAATTTAGTGATACAAGTGTGGATGAAATAGATAAATACAAAATTGTATTTAATGTTGAATTTTAGAAGGATAAGGTGAAATGGAATAATTGGTTATAAGTGTGTAGTGGAAAATGGGGTTGAAAAGAGGGGAAATTTGAGATCCCAATGGGAGGAAACCCTGAAGAGCCCCCAGACATGGGGATTTGAAAAAGAAGGCGTATTTGGATCCCCCATCCATGTGTTTTTGTGTCTTTTCAGTGTCTTGCCGCATCCCGCATCCCGCATGCCGCCTGCGCCTCCACGTGCAGTGGCATTACGCATATCATGTCTCTCTCTCCCTTTCATTTTTCATTCACGTCGCTCTCTCCCCTGTCTCTATTTCCCATTCTCACCCACCCACTTGACCCATATGTTTTGATTGACGCCATCTTGAGTTTCAGGGTGTCATCAGCCACCACAACTCGTTTGGTCATGCCATCGATAACGAGCCCACGTGATGCTCATCTCATCAGGATGTCCTGAACACCACCGTCCTTCAATATTAGAAATTATTAAGGGATGAGATCGAAACATTTTTTTTATAAGTGTGTGGAAACTTATAACTTTCAACATCTTCATCTTTAGTAACTTTGACCCATCACTAATTAATATGGGAATGGTGTGTGGGTTCTCACCATTTTAGAGACTTGAATTGGGCTACACATTTCGTCGAACACTTAGTGTGCATGTACCAGAGGTTTCTCATTTCGTCCTGAGAAAGCAAAAAGACCTGAGAGATAAAACAACGTCGTTTTCTTGTCGCCCTCTTTGTACTTCGGATGTCGGAGTCGGTAGCGGCCATTACCCAATAAAAAATTAAGAGGATTATTCTACTTAAATATGAAAATAAATAATTAAAATGCTCCACTTTTGGGCCGGAGGAGTAGCCCAGCCCACTGGAAGTTAAAATAACCGGTAAACTGTAACAACCGGCTACCGAAAAAAACTAACCATACTGAAAAATACGGTTCCTTATTTACAATTACTTGCATTATTAATTATTGTTTGTTTAGTTTATTCTTTTATTAAGAAAAATTATTACAACAGTTTTACCCATAAATAAAAAAAATATTATTGAAAGATACTCTTAAACGTGATGTCGACCTACTCCGATAAACTCATGTTCAACCGTTGCCGTGGTTGAAGAGTATAACTAGTGAGCTAACTCCAACATAAGGTCTCACGGTCGGTCGCTAGAAGAACACCACTAAGCAAGTCTAAACAATCTAAATTAATAAATAAACTAAATGCTACTCCTCGTTTGGGGGAGTGACCTCCGTTATTGTATGGATCACCATTTCGACAATTTGATTATTCGGACTCAAATCTCCAGACTCAAAGGACTCATAGATCGTGTCATGAACCGAATAATTCGATGGACTTGATGGATAATTTGAGTTCGGTGAGATGCCAACGGAGTCATCGTGGATCGGATAAATCTTGTTGTCTACTACCTTAGGAGGATTACTCTTTTTAAACGTGTGCGAAGTTAAGTCTTTTTGATCATAGATTTTGAGTAGTGCTCGTATCTTATTTCCAATCGAGAAGTTGGAGCCTTCATTGGCGGTGCGACCAAGTGTGTGTTTTTCTTTGTAAAGAAAAATGACGAAGTAGACGAGGAGAACAGTAATGGCAACAACTCCAACAATGAGGAATAGACCCCAAAAGTTGTTCATGCTGAGCTCGGAAGAAGTAACCTTTGGGATGGAAGACCAGGAGTTGGCTTGATCACTAAACCATTCCTTATGTAATTGGTTGATCTTCTCACTCTCTGTCACGTGCAAAATTGCTCTTGATATGTCTGCCACCAACAGTGAACCAATGGGAAATGCCTGTCGGCATAATCATCATTATAGACGATAAGAAAAAAAAGAACATCGATGATAACTTGATCATAGTTAAAAATTATCCCGTGACAAACTTTGTTTCATTTAAGTTGGAAAACGTTCTAGCCGTTTTTCTACTATAATATTAGCTTGAGATAGAGACTTACAAATCCAAATCCATCTGTTTTATAATTGGGATCAACCATGGTGTACTTATTAGGAAACTTGCGACGGAAGAGCTTAATATAAGGGATTTCATCAAAAGCAACATCAATTCCATCATTGGAGCTTCCTAGTTTGAACAACTTGTCGAGTTCCTCAAGAGACCCATAAGGCTTGAGATTCTTAAGCCCCAAAGAAGTCAATAGCTCCCAAACAAATGAGCCATGTTGATACCCCACCGATGATTGCTTCTTCAACAGCTGATTTATATTTGTAATGGTCGGTTGCAATTGTTGCAACGTCAAAAGAGAAGTCAAGCTCCCCATGTAGCTCTCAGTTAGAATGAACACCACAAAGAACCATATTATCACCACAAACCTCGCCAAATTACTTATCAAAGTCTCCCCTGAGAGTAAAAAACCAAGTGGGTCGGTAAAAATACGAATAAATGATAACAAATGGGTCGGTAAAGGTGGTTACTTTGGGCGAAGACCATGGTGCAAAAGGAGAACCAGAGGCTGGTGCCGATATGATGAGAGGGAGGACCACGGAAGTCTTGGTTGATTCGATGTTCCAGAATCCAAACCACAAAGCCTGTGAAGACAAAGAAGCATAAGCTTGTGATCCAAAGGTCTAAAGTGAGAGGCTTCAGAAAGAGCCAGGCTTTGTTCTTGGAGTTGGGTTGTGTTGGAACCACCATTGAAACTCCCGGCTCTGTGAATGGCAAGGTGAAATCAACGTACTTGGATCTGTTTGCTATGATGGTTATGTCTCCCACTGCACCGTCGTAGACCTGCCCATAAACCACACATTCACCAATACTTCATTTTAGTCCTCAAAGTTGAAGCAATAAAATGAATACAAACATACTGACCCCTTTGTGAACTTGCATGATGAGGTCGTCGTAGGAACCGGCGCTAGATCCATTCGGAAGTGCAAAGGGAATGTAATCAAATGGAACATCATATGGAAGTGTTGCTATTACCGCATTGAACACGTCCGTACAATACCCTTTCACGAACTCACTATACCCTTCCTTCACCGGAACCCCAATTCTCAACCTTTTCCCTGCCGTCGGAAACTCCCACCCTTTCGGCACCGCCGCCGTATTCCCCGGCCAAACCACTGTCATATTGTTACTCAACAATCCCTTTTCAGGATTCCAAAACCCAACTCTGTTTCCCCCATTACTATTCACATTCACAATCTCAAATGCCGCCGATTGCAGCTGCCCATTCACGATCTCGTAGTTTCCAGTCAGCCCCATGAACTTCGTCTTCGACAAGGCCTCCCCAATTTTCTCCCCGTTTCGAGAAACCCCCAACGTTTCAAGATCGGTTAGATTTTCAGATCCATTTGGGTTTTGGAATGTGAAGTTTTTGGCCCCTGTTTTCTCAACTGCCATTGCCAGTGCTCGAGCTGCATCATAGGCCCACAGTCCGAAGATGTCTAAATATGGGTCGTTGGGGACAGAGTTTTCCACTATGAATTTTCGTTTCCATTTAATTTTGAAACGGTCGAGCTCCATTGATTTCGGGACATATGTCCTCACTCCCAAAGCTCCTTCCATGGACTTCAAAACAGAGGAGCTCATGGAACCGAGCAAATTGGTGGTGGCGTCAGTCAGAATCCAAACGTAGCCTTCCCTCATCATTCCAATTTCATTGGCCTTAGAGAATAAGCGAATCGCCAGAGACGGCAACATGTGCACCAACAACACTCTGGTCGGCATTGTCATCAATTTGTAAAGCTCTTCCTCGATCTGATCCTCGGTAGGCGTTGGATCAATGATGCTCTGATATGGGACGCGCGCATTGACACCCTGCAATGCGTGGATGAAGTAGGGTGACATCCCGTCTCCAAACTCATCGTCTTGGTAGATCAAAACCAGCTGAGTAGAAAGAAAAAAGAAGGATTAAAATGCAGGGCAGCCTAGTCGTGTGATTGAACGGAGATTTAAAAACGTACCTCTCTCCAATTGTAGGCTTTGACTAAGGCGGTGATAGCGGCAACTTGGGCAGAGTCAGTGTGGGTGAGTCGAAAGAAGTAGGGGCTGCGGTGGGAGGCGAGAGAGGGGCTAGAGGCGGTGAAGGTAAGGATGGGGACATGAGCTTTGTGGGCGAGCTTGATCACGAAGTTGGTCTGCATTGAAGTGGTTGGCCCCAAAATTGCTTCAACTTTATGATTGTTTATGAGGTCAAGAGCTGTTCCACCAAAGGATTGAAATGGTTTGATGATTAAACATTAGAAAAGTTGGATTTTGTTAGCTTCAGAGATTTAGTTGATTTTTGCATTTTTAGTTTATTTAGTTTTAGTTGATTTTTTTTTCCCTTCCGGACTGTTGATCAATTTTAATATTTATCAAAGATCATAAATAAAAATTTTAAAAATCAAACCTAAGAGAATCCGACAACGACTTTAAACGGTAGTCATATATATATATTATAATGATAACGATCCTGTAAGAAGACCCCCTGTAATTTTTAAATGAAAATCCGACAAAGTATGTACCTTTCATAGTAGTTTTAGATAAAAATGAATAATATAATAGACAATTTTTTTTTTTAATTTTATTATTTTAATCTTTAAACAAAATAATACTAATTTTTTTAAGATAAAATATAAAATTTACCCTCCAAAAGAGTGAAAAAAAAAAAAAAAACTTAAAAGGCAGTAATAAAAAGAAAAGGAAAAGACTTGGAACCTGCAGCCGCCGCGCCAACGACATCGCCGGCGGAGTCCTTGGGGTGAAGAACAATCCTAGTGTTGTAGTGAGGGTTAGCTTGATAGAATTCCGACAGCGACATGTGGATGCAGCTCAGCCCCATCTTCCCAACCCAGCTCTCCATATCCAACACCACCCCCACGCTCACATTCCGAGCCTCCCCCGCCGTCGCAACGAACAACAAGCAGCCTGCGATGAACCACAGAGCCCGGTGGGTGCCCTGATTTGTGTTCATTGTTCCGGTGACTCGGTACACGAATGAGAAGAAGGTTTAATGAAGGCTAATTTGTTGGTGAAGGGGAGTGAAGAAATGGATATGGCGGTGGTGTTGTTATATATTGATTATTAATGGATTCTAATTCTATTTCTATTGGGTGTGGGCTTTACAGTTGACCTTACTGAAACAGACTCAACATATAAAAATACCTTTCTCCTCACTCATATATATATATATATATATATATATTGAAAATGTATTTATCTGTTGTGCAAATTATATGAGCAAACAAATTACCTACGAAGTTGCATTGCAAAAATCATAATATGAACACCCATAAAAAATTTTAAAAAAATACCCCATGGTTTTTTATTTTATATTTTAATTTTTTGAACAAAAATAAGTTTTGTAATTTGATTTTTATTTTTTTTAAATTAGGTCAATAAATACCACTTTTTCCTATTGATTTTATTGTTTTGTTATCTACTAATTACATATATTCTAAAAAATAAATCCAATTTTTGTTCTTGTTTTTAAAATTTGATTTAGAGTAAAAAAAAAACTAAATTATAAAAAAAAATATCATATTTTTCGATAAAAAACCCTTAGTACTTTGTTAATAACTTTTTTAAAAATTTCAAAAATACTCGTCAATATAGTATTAATCCTCTTAAACTTTATAAATAAGTTCTTACTGTCAATATATGAACGAAAACTATCTACACTTTATATATCGTCTCCTTCTTTAAACTTAAGAGTATCCGAGGTAAATTTTTTAAAAACATTTTCTAAAATTTCAAAAACAAAGTTTGGAAGCTATTTTTGAAACAAAATGGGAACCGTTTGTATTTTAAAAACATTTTCAATAGTTTAAAAATATTATTGAAACTTTTGAAAGTTAGCATTCTCGGGGTATTGGTATAAGAAATAGGGCATAATGCACCTTTTATGGCAACGAAATGGGTCTACAGGCCGCCAAGCAAATCTTAAGGATGAGACGTTTGCTAGCGCTCTTGCATCAAAGATAAACAGGTCTAAGCAATCTGGCGAAGTTGTGGGATGTAAAAATGCATCGGTATAGAAGCGTTCTGCTTTAGAGAAAATCACCCACGCGAGCAGTGGTGAATGAAGCGAAAACGTTTGCACTACCCTAATTTAGCACTTGACTTAATCTGCCTTTGACGGGAACTCTTCTAAGTGTTCCAGTCGGTGGAGAAGCGATAAAATACAAAATTCAAAGATATTTTTATTAATTTAGCCATAATAAAAATTTCTAAAACAAAAAATCAAATGATTATAAAATAATACCAAAATCGTCCCATTGAAAACTTTCAAACCTAAACCATAGGATTATCTAATGGGCATGAACATTAAATAAATATCTTTTGGAAATTCAAGTATGCATACATTTTGACTAAGCATATATTAAAAATATATATACACTTCAATACATTATATAATATTAAAAATTCATACGAAGTTGGCTTAAAAATAATTCAAGCGTTACGTACTCAAAATCAAGATTTTAAATATATATTATTTGACCAAATAATTAATTATATTTCATTAAGGGAGGTTGACGTTGATCCAATCAAAGACGCAATATTTCAGTACCATGCAAATTATAATGACGCGTCATGATCCTATTGGACCAAATCAAATCACTGTCCGTGTAGGCCCTAATTATCAAGTTATTTTTAATTTTTAACATTATTATCTCATCAATTTTAATATTAAAATAAAAATATTTACACCTACCCTTTTATTAATTATGTGGAAAAATAATTTAATATTGGTGGGTTGACATTTTATTAATGTAGAGTATGGTAAAGACATTATTATAAAATGGAGAGTAGAAAATGTCACACATTTGTCTCCAACAATTCAATTCTTCTTCCATTCAAGAAATTGTCACACTAACCTTCCACCCTCTCCTCACCCTAATATTTTAGTATTAATATGAAAGTCAAAGTCAAAGTCAATTACCATACGTCTATTAATTACTTGAATATGATCTTCACGTATAATTTTAAAAGTAATGCCGGATGATTTAAGAAGCTTTCGTTATTCTATTTTGACTGCTTCAATTTGGCTTTTCGATTGATTCGGTTTGGGTATGATACGTTCAAGCTTTTTCTTACCATTTTTGACTCGTTTGGAGCTGTTTTTGTCACTTTCGGTTGTGTTTAAGGTTAGTATGGCTACTCTTTAACCAATTTAAGTCATTTAGTCCTTTTGAGCTAAACTTAGATTATTTTTTGTAATTAGGTGAGCTAATTTCCATAATAAAATTCTAAATTATGATGGTAGAACTCCTTCAGATGGCAACTTTAAGCTAGTATCAAGTAAGCATAATGACTTTGACATAAGACAACTAAGTAAGTGGTTCTACTTTTGGATTCACATGGGCATAGTTGGATGACTTGTCTGCTATTTGAATGACATGTATCTTATGACCCCTAAACGTGTCGTTTTTGTGATGCTATGATGCTTGATGGGTGATATGTTATGTGTGATTTATATTATGATATGAATTATACTATGTATGATTATGTTATATTATGAAACTATGTTGTGATATCAATGTTATATGATGCATGCACCTTCACATATCATGTCATGTATATTATGTTAGCGTGTTCACTCTATGTATACGAGACGTTGATAAGCCAAGTATGTTAACCATGAAAGACATGTCTAGTATATATATGCATGTTTCATAAGAATACTATGCTTAAAAAAATGGAATTATGATTTGCACCACAAGTAGAACCTCATGCATTTTCTATGTCACTTGTAATGGGATACTTCCCCATTATGATTAATATGGATGTGTTTACTACGATGTTATGCATGTCATGACATTATGCAGGCTTCTTTCTCTCTATGCCTTTTGGCAGTGTGAGCATGCACTAGCTCGTAATCAGGCTCGGTATACAAAATTGCACCTTCATTTTTTAGTATGCTTATGTCAACGTGCACTTCATTTTTTTAGTGGCTCAATCATAGAAATTTCAAAATTAAGTATGCTTACTTGGAGAAATTTCATATTGGATACTGAATCTTAGACATGAATCAGTATAGAAAAATTTCGAACTATACTAGTTACGTTGTGGACCATAGAACAACGTCGCTTAAAGAAGGCTATGTAAAGTGATAAAAGCAATAAACGAGGTAAAAAATATACAATAGAAATGTTTCTTTTTTTTCTTCAAATAACACGAGAAATCCTCGATGAAGTAAGAAATGTATTGACTTTGACCCGAAATCTTAAATTATTAAATATTAGGTATGGTAAAGTCAAAGGCAGAGAGAGAGAGTAAATTTAACATTGACTTGACAATAAATATAAAATGTGTTGACTTTTTATTCCTACCTTTTATTTTTTTTTAATCTACTTCTTACATAATTAAGCTTTTCTATGTTTTTAAATCTTATTTTTGTTTTTAGTATTTAACTAAAAATAAAATAAAAACTAAGAAAATAATCAAAATTTTCAAAAACCAAAATAATTAACTTATTTATATTTGGAACGTTAGTCAAAATAATTAACAATACTCGTTCATATTTGTTTGAATATAATTTCATTTGTACCGATAGAGTATTTGTAATACACATTATTAAAATCGGTTGCATGTTAGTATGCTTTAATTAGTTTTACTAGCATATGGTCTACGTATATGCTATAAAAAATAATGTATACAATAGCTAATGAAAATGTTATCTTAGATCATTTATAGCGTTTTTCTTAGGCCTTAAAAGCCAACATTATTAAAAATATGCGATGTTATAATAGAGGATATTATAATAGCGTACGAACGTATAACGTATGTACGTTGCTATGAAAATATTTTATGACGTTTTTTTTAATAAAACTATAATATGTTAATATTATTAGGATCACACAACTCACGCCCTCGATATCAATAGAGAATGTGAAGAACAAAAAAAGAAGCAAAGAGAAAAGATTTTAGCATATTCAATACATTTTCGGTGTGAATATCCTTTAACTACTAATCGAGTCATCTGGTACAGCCTTGATTTTGAATACCTATTTGTTCAACAAAACTCTACTTCACGTAGGTAATTTAGTCAGCACCCATGTGTTATTATTTTCAAGTGAACTCACTCATCATCTATAGAATGCTCCCACTTAGGCTGAATCCTCCCTCCACCCGTAGGGTCTCAGTGCAACCAAAAGCTATCAAGTGAGAGTACTTGAGTTTTTTTTTTCCCTGTCCATACCTCTTCTAGCATCTTGAACCCGAAGGGTACGGATGACTCTCTATTGATCAAGTAAGATGTTGTATTCACAACGTTAGCTCAAAATGTCTTTGACACCGCAAAGTGGATTTTCATACTCTTTGACTCCTCATTCAATGTTCTATTCATCCTTTTAGCAATACCATTTTGTCGTATTAATGGGCTGTCTTATTAATCTAATTCCCTTACTTGCACTAAATGTTTCAAATTTTGTCACGTTGCATTTGGTTTGTTAAGAGATTTTTTTTTTTTATTATTATTCTTTGATTTCGATTAATCACGAAGAGTATTGCTCGATGATTCTCCAATTTTCCATTTGTATCTACTTACACTGAGAATTACATTTCAAATTTCAACAAATTTAAGTTTCTCAGGGACTGAGTATATTACTGATCGCAACAATAACAATATCTCAAGACTTGGGTAATGATGACATTAAAATCAACGCTTTAATTTAATTTTCGAAATTGATTTCCACAAAACTCAATTCATTTATATGACTCACAATAGATCCACCTTCAAAATCGGGAAATTGAACCGTCTTTACATCAAATATACATTATTCATAGCTGGCAGTTTTTTTTTATATATTTGGCAATGTCTTCAAAAGATCTAATGTTCTCTTATCCTTGACCATGTCAGACCTCGAGCTTCCATCGCTCCATAGATATGGAATATGGGTTCACCTTGGACAAGGGTTCGTGAAAATCTTTCTAGTAAAAATAATCTTCAATCAATCTACATCTTCTAGAAAC